TTTTTTTTTTTTTTTTGAATTTTAGATCTTTTTGCTGATTTAAGGTTACTGCTAGGTGTTTTTGTTAGATTTTATTGAGTCAAAGCGAGACTCTGGGCATGTTTTTGATGAGAGCATAATATTATAACATGATATAAAACTCAAAAAAGTTGATTTTACATGATATTGCCCCTTTAAGAATTGTTTTTGGCTTACTAATGACTTTTTTTTAACTTGCTGTCACTTTGCCTCGGCCCAGGGACAACAAATGAAAACTAGCTTGTAGCTTAGTCTGTGCAATAAATGCATTGTGCAATGTCCCTGTTAAATAAACTAAGTTAATAACTAATATGTCTCAACTCTTTATGCAATCAATACTTAATTCTTCCGAACAGACAGGCGTGTGAGATTGTAGGAATGTGCTCCAAGTGCCAATGATTTGTTTTATTTAATAAAACCCGTTTGGTCATTTGTAAGTGATCTGTTGTTCTCAATGAATCACCTGCTTATGCAGCACAACACTTTAATGAAATCAGTATTGAACTTCTAATCTGACTTTTAGCAACTTGGTATTTCAGAAAATGTCAGCTGTTAGAATTCATAATCATTAGAGTGAGCGCAGATTTTTACTGAGAATCATTAATATTGTGTTTCCCTTGAATAATTAACATGGATACAGACAGATTTACATTTAAATCAAATAACATTTGTTTTTTTTCCCCAATTCAACAGATCAGTTAGAAAAAGCTGCTGATCCCCCAATCTATAAATGAAGACTATTTATAAAATAAACATTAATGTACAAGATATACAATTACCCTTACTTTGTTTTAAGGTTAATATGTTATTTATTACATGTGAACATTATTAATAAGTATTGTCCCTTTAAATAACCAAGGCAGTATTTATTTTCTTATTATGAGCCGGACACAGTAAGAGATGTAGTTTTCCAAAAACAATGACAGAAAATCAAACTGAACAGTAGCTTTATTTTTTTTCTCCGCATATTTTAATCTATTAACAAATCTTTTTTTCATCCCTGCAAAAATTTATTCTGCACAGTCAGCGCATTCACTGTTCGTTTTTATGAAAACCATTCTAATTATTATTATGTAAATAATTTTAACTGAAATAACCTCGGCTCCAAATTTAATTTTTAATGATTGTTTTCTTCCTTTAACTAAAGAAATCGTTGAAAATAAACTGAAGGCTTCGCTGGCAGCCTTCTAATCAGGGCTGCAGTTCTTTGTTCAGTAATAATAATAATAATAATAATAATAATAATAATAAAATTAAAAAGCAGCTGAAGGAAACAAAAGTAATAGATAATTGTGGAACGAGAAACAGAATAAAATGAGAAGGAAAAATGGATCATCTCAAAAATGTGAATATTCCATTTGCATAATGATGTTTTTACATGTGAAAACATGGTAAATTAACATGTGACAAATATGAAACTCGTGGAAACAGGAGGATTTTGCACATGTGAAGCGGGTTTGGTACAGAAACACTTTTTTTCCCAAACCGTATGCATATCACATGTGAAAACATTTGCATAACCGTATGTG